CCAAATGCAGTGAAGAGGACTGCACAAAAGACCCTGTTTCACTTTGTGCTGGCAGCCAACTGTGTACACACTGAACCTGTCCACGTTTGTGTTCCATACAGAAAAACACATGCAAGAGAGTGACTGTGGGCACTCGTGCATATTTGTGCTGTAAAACCAAAGGAAGGTTAACTTTTTTTGTGAGTAATAAATGTACATTCCAGTGTTGGACATACTGTGACAGTGTGTCACTGTGAAGCAAAAACGCAGACAGGCAGACTTGGAAGCCCTCTGTGGTCTTGTACCTAAACGCAGACACACCTGTCAATCTCCACCTTGTGCAAAGTTATCATTCGGGGAATCAAATGTCACTTTACTGTCCTATGCCCTTAGTACTCTTTTTGCTTGCTCAAGTACTCTCAATATTTTTTCGGAAGAGTCGCATGGCCTTCACCGCGATGCATTTACTCCCCACACAGCATGCCGGCGCCGTGAAAGCGCTGGACCTCAACCCATTCCAGGCCAACCTGCTGGCGTCGGGAGCCAGCGAGTCTGAGATATACATCTGGGATCTCAATAACCTGGCCACGCCCATGACCCCCGGAGCCAAATCCATGGTAAAATTGCATTATCTTTTCTACGCTACATGCACTGTTAAGAGACCCATGCAGTGTTTCCAGGGTTGAACTTGGTCACAAATCTTCCTGCATCCCACAGAATTCTTCTTTGCATAGCTTAGTTTTTTTTTTCTGGAGGATTGAGGTTTGAAAGTCTGGTGCACTGTTGTTGCACAGTGCCGTCAACAGCAGTTGAATAAACTGCCCATGTTGAGGCAACTGCTCATGTAGAGACAAGAGCTGGTCCCCTGAAGCAAAGCCACTGTTGGATCTGGTGGTGACTGGCAGACACAGACTCATCGACTGTTTGGCTTTGGGGACGAGCTACACCAATGCATCTCGCATTGTTTCTGGCCAAAAATATTTGTTAGGTTAAGGGTCAAGGGACAGATTAACAGTCCCACTGCGCGGCCTCAGGACCCCCACATTGAAACATACAGGTAATTTATCCAATGGGTGGACCTTGTGTCAAGTTTCTTCAAGCCACTTACTCTATACTCTTGCGTTCGCAACAGCCACTGGATGAAATCAGTTGTCTGGCCTGGAATCGGCAAGTCCAGCACATCCTGGCATCCACCAACCCAGGAGGGCGCTGCGTGGTGTGGGACCTGCGCAAGAACGAGCCGATCATCAAAGTCACAGACCACAGTGCACGGGTAAGATTTCATTGTCTCACTCAGTCTGCTCAGGAACGGTGCCGTGCAGTTCAAGAAGTTCAACTCCTTTCTTTGTTTTCCACAGTAAGATGGACTTATTTGTGAATTAGCTGATTTCTCGGAACAACGAAAACCGACAGATTTAACTTTTATGCATTTTGGTATTTTTCTCATGACTAACTTCCCTTCTGATGAATCCAAATTCTTTGTAATGTTTGTAGTGAAGCACAAAGAAAAGGTTGCGTGTGTTTCTTTGGAAGTTGTTGAGTGTAAAGAGCATTGGTTCTATAATGGGCCATTTGCAATTCATGAAACATTGAAGCGCTGATTTTAGGATTTTGTGAAAGCAAAACTTAGTGTGTCTTTTTGTTTTATTGTGCATGCGATAGATTCAATGCAAAGCTGTAGCCTGGCATCCAGAGGTGGCAACCCAGATGGCGTTAGCCTCAGAGGACGACCATTCACCCGTGGTCCAGATATGGGATCTGAGGTTTGCTACGTCCCCACTGAAAGTCCTGGAAAACCACCAAAGGTACATGAATATTCATTTTTCTTTGCGAAACCGAGTATTACGCGAAAGTGCCCCTTTCATTCTAGTCCGTAGAAACCTGTATGGAGTGAAATAAAGCGGGTTTAGTTTCATAGCTGTAGACATTCTTTCATGGGAAACTCATAGAAGGCAAGTAGGAACTCTACCTGTGAACTCCAATCATGTCAATGCTTTGAGGGGTTTGAACCTTGATCTTCAGAGCGCAAGGGTAGGGAAGTACTATCCTTAAAATCTGACATTAGTTATCTTAGAATAGTTTGTTGTTACATTGCTCAACAAATTGTTTTGTCTGAAGTAAATTTGCAAGTACCCATTGTGTTGCAGAATAAAACCTCATGTAATTTATGGTTGTATGTTCAAGAAAATTCCAAAGTAAGATTTGAAGCTTCGCGTGGTGGAGGCTGGACTGAAAGGAAGTTTGCGGGTACACCATAGTGAATCAATCCGTTCTAGAGGCGTGGTGGTTCTGAAAAGAACCAGTGAGTGGAATCTGGACATTTCGACCAGGATGCTGTGTCATTCTCCAGCTGGTTCTGTAATTGATTTTACTTGGCTGTTGCTTTTCCTAGGGGAGTGCTGTCTATTGCCTGGTGCCCACAGGACCCCGACCTGCTCCTCAGCTGCGCCAAGGACAACCGCATCCTCTGCTGGAACCCCAACAGCTCAGTGCAGGGCGGGGAGGTGGTCTACGAGTTGCCCACCTCCTCCCAGTGGAGCTTCGACGTCCAGTGGTGCCCCCGCAACCCGGCCGTCATCGCCAGCTCGTCCTTCGATGGCCACGTGACTTTCTACTCCCTGATGGGCGGGCAGCGGGGGGACCAGCAGCTACAGCAGCGCCAAGCAGACAAGGTGAGCGAATCATTTATTACCCAGTGCAGCGGTTGCCTTGTGTCATGTTTACCAGTGAGCCATGTTTACCAGAAACAATTCCATCGCAGGCCGTCCAACCTTGAAACAAGTCACAAGCTCCTCAAGTGAACTATGGCTGAAGCATTGCTTTATTGTGACGAATCCTGTTACTTGTGATGGGTCGTGTGAAAGGACTCATAACTGGACTTGTGAAGAAAGGACTTGTGACAGACTCTCCAACATCACTTTTAAATGTTAAAAGTGTGACGGATGAACCACATTAACAATTTTCGTTTTAGTTCTGTTACTTTTTTCTTTGGATCTTTTCAGATTGCCTCGTCTTTTCCAGGCACGGCCGGCTTTGGCCAGCAATCACCCCAACAAACTCAGCCTTCGGCCGAGCCCACGGTCCTCAAAAAACCTCCCAAGTGGCTGCGTAGACCAGTAGGAGCAACCTTTGGGGTAAGTTGCTGCTGAAACTTTACGGGCTTTTGGCTGAGAAATGATGAACTCGGCGACTTAATAGCCTGTTGTTTCGCCGTCTCCAAGGAAGCCTTTCTTTTTTTTCACAGAGTGGTTTGATTAATCCAAGCAGAAATAAAAGACATGGATTATCATAAGTATGTGTCGGTCTTTGTGAGGTTCATCAAGTTTATCGAATACCTTGTCGGTTGAGGTCATCTTCAGGTGTGTGGTTGCTGTATAGGATCGAGCTAAGACCTGAGTGCTGCCAAAGTTACTCAAAATCAATAGCACTGCTTGTTGACAATATGCCCAATTTCTTACTTGTAAGCCATTTTGCCTGGAAGGTCTTACAACGTACATTTTTCAAAAGAACCTATGTCATCTGTAAGTTCTGTAAGCTTTTTTCGTGAAAAACTTAACGAACCTGTCTCATCCACAGTTCGGTGGCAAGCTGGTGTCCTTCCAGTCGACCAAGCAGCAGCCCACCAACCAGGTGCACATCAGCCAGGTGGTCACGGAAACGGAATTGGTGAATCGCTCCAACGCACTGGAAGAGGCCCTGGCCAAGGGGAACTTTCTGGAGTTCTGCAGCGCCAAGATCTCCCAGTCCAAGGCCGCGATGGAATCTCAGATATGGAAATTCCTGAAGGTAGGTCCGTTCTCATTCAGTAGAGGCCTTGCATGGTAGCCGTCTTACAGGGCAGTTCTTTTGTTCTACAGAGAAACCTCCTTTGTGCATACTCCGTGGAACAAAAGCACTGGTCTGCAAGATGGCAGCTATGCAAACCCTCTATAGCTCTTCGTTCACTTTTAGTGGCCATGGTAAATTCCTGGGTTCTATTATGACTGACTTTTCATGTTTTGTGTGTTGTCTCTTTTAACATCTTATTTATCAGGAAAGGATGCGGAGGATGAAGCGAAGTTTGCTGTGTGCCTTCAAGTTCATAGATCAAATCACTTTAAGGCCAACCTACAGGGCACATACCTAATTACGTACACTGCTGTTGCATGTATCATGGTTTGGGTTAATACTCAGACATTGCATTTTGTAGGTGGCAGGGGCATTGTCACGTCTATTTACCGACAGCTCTGTCGCAGTCTTCTGCGGTTTACCTGCCGTGCCTTTAACCCCTTCGCACCGGGAACCGTTGACAGCCGCGGCTTTGTGTGGGGATTAGTGCATACCACACATACAGTCTATTCACCATGCAGCTGCTGGTTCAATGGGGCCTGCTGATGGACAAAGCCCTCCATTCAGGGCATACCACAGCCCAGCAATCACAGTCAAAAGAATTCCCGACGCGAAGGGGTCAATCCAGACAATAATTCTGGTCCTGAATGTGCACCCCAAGCTATTAATCACAAGATGACTGTACCGTTCATTGACTAGCTTTGCAGACCTAGCTATTTTCCAAGCTGTCATACTGACTGCCTTATGACTTGTTGGTAGTTGTGCTTAACAGATGAGTAGTGCGGTGTTTAAACCATTATACTGGTTATCCATAGCAGATAAGTCATGTTTGGACAGTAAGTAAAATTTGGATCTCAGGTAATCGTGCTACGAACACCCTTCTCATAGGCGTGTGTTTTCCCTCTAAGGTCAATTTTGAGAAGGACCCCAGGCCGCACTTTGTGTCGCTCCTGGGGTTCGACTCCAAGGAGCTCCTGCGCAAGGTCGCCACAGCGACCGGTGCCCCTCCGGGACTGACCAACGGCATGCCGGGTGCCGTGAACGCGGAGGAGCTGGCCGAGAGGATGCAGAACCTGGACGGGGGCTTGTCAGGGTCAGAGGCCAGCGGCACAGGGTCACCAGCTGTGGGGTCAAAGGTCAGTTGTTCTTCACGCTTCAATCTAGATAGTGAATGGTACCTCTCGATATGTTTATGTCCACAGCAAAGTCATTCATGCGTGAGATTTCAAATGTACCGTTGATCTTCAAAACTCCCATTTTATTAATGTTCATTAAGTTAGAGTCATTACTGATAGAAGGACGCACAATGTTTGTGTACTTTTTTCTTCAGGGCTTCAGAAAAAAAAACGGAAGTTGTGAATTTGCTAACTTGACAGACACATCAACCCTTACCCTCCAAGTATTGTTACATATATCTTAACCCAAGCTGCAGAGTTGATTCAGGGTCACTCCAAGTCACCCAAAAGAATGAGAATTCTACGTATTTTAAAACAACCATAAGAATATTGACCTTAGTATGTAAGTTTGTGGGTTTAAAATCAACTTTGGTTACATTTGCTTCTCCCGTTCCAATTTCACCACGAATCTAAACAGAGCCCAAGCGATACCCTAGGGGACTCTGATGGTGCAGCTGCCTTCGATGCGATAGCTGCAGGGGGGCCAGTGGAAGTCGAGAACCAGCCGGAGGTAGAGGTCAGGTCGTCCTCCCCCTTCACCATCTCCAGGAAAGACGGTAAACTCAGAACAACCATCACAAAACTTCAAACCACTTTTTGGGACATCTTTTTTTTTTGGTGTTAAAACCAAGGTCATTTATCCAGATCCATTGGAAATTTCCATGTTTTTTAAGGGTTGAACATTTCAACGTAAAAGAGATTTCTTGATTCATGACGTTAGGGTAACGAGGTCATAGGTTTGGTGATTTTGCACTCCAAGTTCTTTCTAGGCAGGCAACACTCACACTGAGAGTTTTAAAACTTTTGCGTATCGGTCACAAAGTTACCCTTACTCCTTTGTTCTTTCAAACAGACATAGATGGCCTAATCAGCCAGGCTGTCCTGACAGGCAACTTTGAGGCGGCCGTGGAGATGTGCCTCCACAACGACCGGTTGGCGGACGCCATCCTGTTGGCCATAAGCGGCGGGCCGGAGCTCCTCAGCAAGACGCAGCGCAGGTACTTCAAGAAGGTCAAGTGCAACATATCACGGGTGAGGAGCAAAAGAACGGATTGACAGAAGTAACCTAGCCAGAAGTAGTAATCTGTAGCGCTAGGTCCTTCGGGCTCAGAGGGTTACATAGTATTTTGCAGTAGTGAGTACTCTAAGCCAAACAACGCCCGGTACTGTTTGGGTTAATCGTAGTGTGATTGTGCGCCTTCCATCGTGTTTCAGACAGTGTCAGTCTGACAGAGTTAGGACTTGATGAATCTTAAAATGTTCTTTTGATTATTTGTCTTGCTTTATCACTGAACATGAAGGGAAATGGGTCGCTGCTAACTGCTTCTTGGATGCAGATGAGAGAACGCATGGGGAGTTGCAGAAATGAGGGGTCCAGAAGTGTGACATTTTCGTGTCCCTGTTACGTCTGACCTTTGTTATCTGACCGGGAAATATCACCGGAATTGATTTCAAAGTATTACTATTTGTTTGGCAGGTAATTTGCATTAATTCAGCAGTCGTGGAAATTAGAAAATGTGTTCTGAACTTACAAAATCCATTTTTCAGATGTGACAGGGACTCACTCAAAAGATGGACCCCTAATTTCTGGAATTCCCCACATACAAATCATGAAAGCTGAAACCACCTGTTACATCATGAGAGTTTCTCTGTCTTCCAGCTCATATCGGCGGTAGTCACCAAAGATCTCTCGGACATTGTCGAATGTTGCGATCTGTCCAACTGGAAGGAGACCCTCACAGCCTTACTGACCTACGCATCAGTTAGTGAATTCACAACATTATGTGGTGAGTTTCTGTTGACTTTGATGTCGATTACATTAAGGTCTGGATAGGGCAAAAGTCGTACAGGTCAAGTTAGTTGACCCCAGCTCCGTAAGCCTCTTTACTGGGATGTTATTTCCATCGTGAAAATCTTCAAGCGGCCTCCGTGTAAAACTCTGACATAGCCTTGGTTTGTAATACCCTTAATTGTTTCTTGAATGTGTTCCTTGGAAGGGTGGCCAATGCCTCAATCCTTCAAAATCTTCCAGTAATCACTGTCGGTGTGTTGAGATACGTTGAAATTTGGGCCTGCATGTCGAGGGTGGTGGGGTTTTCTGGATCGAAGATTTTGACCGGTATATGCGTGTTGTCCATCTGTCTGTTGTCCCAGATGCCCTTGCCAGCCGGCTTGAGTCAGATGAGTCCGGGGACCTGTCTGCCGAAGCCTGCCTCTGCTACATCTGCTCAGGAAACGTGGACAAGCTGGTGGCCTGCTGGGCCAAGATGACGCACAGTGCAAACACCCCACTACAGCTGCAGGTAACCAGTCACATTTCTGTTACCCAAGAGTGTGGCATTAATTGAACTGGGGGCTGGCAAGTTTGACAGTTGCCAAGCTGCACAAGCAGTTGATTTATCAAAAATTTCGAGCTTCCTGTCTGACCTTTAAAAAAAATTTCAAATGTAAGAAATGGTCGTTTCAGTGATCAAATGAAAGCTCACTCCTCGTCATTTGCATGACAAGATTGATTGCGCTGAACAAAACAGTTGACTCCAAGTTTATGAAAAGTGGACATAATGTTCTTGTGAGATGCCATTTTTTCTGAGACGGGTCAAATAGAAATATTAATTTCTCTCATTGACTCTCTCAAGGCATGTTATCGGCATGTCAGGCTGTGAACTACAAATGACCGAAACGACAAAACCCTATGTTGGATTGAATGAAAAGTTCACAGATGTTCACAGACTCATAAGGAATGGCTTTTCTTACATACCAAGTTTCAGAAAGATTGGATTTGGGACAAAACCACCTCTTGTGGGATTAAGCATGGTTTTTAGCTCCGATGCTCAAATTTCCCACCCGGCAGGATCTGGTGGAAAAGGTCATGATACTCCGCAAGGCTCTACAGCTAAAGACGGGCAACGGCACTGAGGTCACCTCACCAGTGCTGGCCGAGAAGCTCACCAGTTACGCCCAGCTCCTGGCGGCCCAGGGCAGCCTGGCCTCAGCCACGGCCTACCTGGGCGACTCGGGCCAGCCCAAGATCCAGGAGCTGAGGGAGCGGCTGTACCGCGCCCAGGGCGTGGTCACGGCGGGCGGCTCGCAGAGGAGCGTGGCAGGTGTGGCACCCACGAGGCAAGCGACCGCGCAGCCGGCAGGGAAGTCTCCATTCAGTCGGGTGAGGCATTATTTTCTTAGCTGTTACTTCCATTGAATGTTCAAAACAGGTAATCCGCCCGCAAGGTTGCGTGGTCTTTGAGCAGCCAAAGGTTTCTTGTTTCGCCTGGAAAATTTGTCATTAACGTAACTGTCGTGAGCAGTCTATTGTATGCAGGAAATTATTTGTGATTGTCAACAGGGTAACATTGTGGACCCGTTCAAAACTACGACTGTCTCTAGCAGCCAGTACTACACTTCCCAGGTCAGCGCCACGGCACAGTCTTCAAACTACGGCTACGGACAGACGCAGCAGCCCCAGGTCTCGTCACAGCAGGCCGCAGGCGACGCCGCGGCCGCCAAGCAGCGCCACCCGAGCGGCGACCGGCACGCCAACCTGTCAGGCCCCCGGCAGTACCCCCACTACCAGCAGGGCAGCATGCAGCAGTATTACCACCAGGAGCCCACCCAGCAGCAGCTGCAGCAGGAGCAGCGGCAGGCCCACCCTAACCCCAGCATGTACAACCCGGCCGAGTACATGGGCGCCTCCACGGCGCCCGCACTGGCACCGACCCCCCTGCAGCAGAGGACACCGGGCCTGGCCGGTTACCCGCAGCGGGTGCAGCCAACATCGGACGCAGCGGCTGCGCCGTCTTCAGGGTACCAGTCAAGCACCCCAGCTGCAATGAAACCCAAGGCAGTTGTTGGAGCGTGGAATGATCCTCCTCTGATCAAACCAAAGGTAACCTTAAGACCTCCACAGGGTTTCATTCTTTAAGTACAGCTACATCCCAGGTACATATCCTATAATTGAGTTGCCGGTTTCACCTTGTTCTAGGCACGGACGTATATAAGAAAAATCTGGACTGGCAATGCCCTTAATCAGCTTATAGAGATCACTGAATCCACTCGCGGCCATTTTACCGAGCCGAATACAAAGCTTACCCGGCAATGCCCGCCTTTGTTCTCCCTGGTGTCAATAGAAGCGAGCCAAACCACGCATTTGTATTCGGCTCGGTAAAATGGCCGCTGGTTGGCTTCTATTTCATACAAAGGCGTTGCAAGTCCAGTTTTTTTTAAATATACGTCCGTGGTTCTAGGCCTATGTATAAGGCCATTTTCCATGGCTGTGATTTTGTTACATAGAAAGGAAATTGAGTTGTAAAATGTGTTACCACGGTAAAACTAAACAGAAGAATCACACGTTCTCTTAACTCGAGGACTTTAGAACACCATAAACTTGGGAATGATTCTATTTATGAAGCTCATAGGGGTTTTGCATGATAGCCATCTTGGAGGGCAGTTCTTGTATTCCACAGGGAAACCTCCTTTGTGCATACTCTCTGGAACAATGACACTGGTCTGCAAAATGGCAGCCATGCAAACCCTCTGTAGCAGTTTCTTTTCAAACGTCCCCTCAAAATGCCATCTTCACCAATTTCGCTCTTATTTGGTCGCGACCCCAAACGACCAGGAGCAGCAGAAATTCACGGCGCCCGAGCCCATCATGGCACCCATCGTGGGAGGGGTCCAGGACCCCACTCCGCCCCACTCGCCCGCCGCGTTGGCAGCCGGGGAAGGGGTGTACAACCCGGCCGAGGTGCCCGCCCAGCAGGTATACCGTCCTAGTCAGGCCATGTATAACAGCCAGCCCCTGCCGAGTGGTTCCCATATCGCACCGCCACCTTCCTCCTCCTCACAAAACGCTACCCGCAGTGCCAAGGTAAAGCTTGCACACTAACAGCCGTCCGGGCCATTTAAAACAAAATGATCCTGTTTGTCATCAACTATCAGCGGAATTTCAAAAACGGGCCCAATTTTTTTTCTCTGGGACGTGTAATGAAGGTTATGCCATTTTTTGTACATAGAAATCATTGAATTGATTGCAGCGTCGCAGAGAACGCGAGTTATAGGGTTCCTTTTTAGCAGAAGGGCCTTAACCAATTGCACGGTAGCAGGCCCTTGATGATAAACAGAAATCTTTTTTTTTTTTGAGTGGCCCGAATTGTGTCACGCCGGTGGTAGCCTTCCAGTCATTCACAGAGCTGCTCTGTGGGGGAAAACGCCGTCAGGCAAACTTCCCAGTCAGACATAGCCGGTGACCTATGTGAGTCCCGGTGACGCTGTAAGATCCTGGACTCGCTCACAAAAAATCTTTGCTTGACCGATGTTTCTGCCCATCAGCTCTGTGAACAGACCCCTGGCGTGCTAACTCACAATGTCTTTCTCAATCCGGTCAACCCAACTAACTGACTAAGACTAACTCTAGCTTTCATTCGGGTCAGCTTGACATCCCTCCGTCCGGTGTTCAAGCTGTCGTGTGAATCAAGTAATGTCAGACTTTAACAGCTGGCCGTATTCATAAGTCGGGCATATTGAATTGAAAGTGAGGTTAACATGGGGGGAGGGAAACTGAGAATAAAAATGAAAGCAGTGAAATGAAAGTTAATCGCATATTAATACCATTTCTGGTGATGAATAATTTCACATTTCTGATTACTTATATCGGAATGTTTTAAGCCACATTTTAAAAAGGGAAAGTGAGACGTGGACACCAATGTAGTCTGGTACCTCCCCATTTAGCACATTACAACGAATAAGAGATTCTGGGAACTTGATCAAAAATGGCTTCCCTTTGTTCTACAAAGAAAGGTGGTTGGCTTTTCAGGAGCGGTTTGTTGAAAACGTGATTTTTACTAAGGTCTTTTTCTGCTGGGCTTTGCTTACCGGTGTTGTGTTCGAGTTAATCACAAGTCCCTGTAAGTCCATCACAAGTCATTCAGCCTTAAGCCAATTCACAAGCTATTCAAATGAGCTGTGACAAAAACAATCCTTTGTCATTGTTCACCCTGTTACTTATGACTGGCCTTGTGAAGGGACTTGTGACTGGCATTGTGAAGGGACTTGTGACTGGCTTGTGAAGGGACTTGTGACTGGCCTTGTGAAGAGACTTGTGACTGGCTTGTGAAGGGACTTGTGACTGGCCTTGTGAAGGGACTTGTGACTGGCTTGTGAAGGGACTTGTGACTGGCCTTGTG